CATCCATCTCTATGTATCCATCAATGCATCCATCCATCTCTATGTATCCATCAATGTATCATCCATCTCTATGTATCCATCTATGTATCATCCATTGCTAGGTATCCATCAATGTATCCATCCATCTCTTATGTATCTATGTATCCGTCCATTTCTATGTATTCATCCATCTTGATGTATCCATCTATGTCTCTATCCATCTCTATGTATCCATCTATGTATCATCCATCTCTGTATCCATCAGTTTATCCATCCATCTCTATGTGTCCATCTATGTATCTATCCATCTCCATGTATCCATCAGTTCATCCATCTCTATGTATCCATCTATGTATCCATCCATCTCTATGTATCCATCTATGTATCCATCCATCTCTATGTATCCATCTATGTATCATCCATCCATCTCTATGTATCATCTCTCTGCATGTCTATCTCTCCCTCTGTGTCTCCATCATCTCTGTGCACCCATCTAGGTTTCTGTGTTTCTCTACCTCTCTCTGTATCCATCCATCTCTCTATGTGTCCATCTCTGTGGATGTCCATCCACTTCTCCCCAGCCCTCACCCACCTGCCTACACTTGTGAGTGCTGGTGCCTTCCCTTTGCCTCTGCGTCTTTGGGTGAATTTCTTCACAGTGGGGTGTGGTGGCCCAATTCCAGGTGAATTTAAAACACAGTTCCCAGTGTGCCTAAATAGACTGCGGCAGAATGCTCATTTATTTGCCTTGTCCCTGTTCCAACTTGGATTGCATGCGTTCCTCCCCAATCTTAAAATAGAGCTGAATATTGCTGACACCTGCACTCTCCAAAGCAGTGTTCCAGGGATGGGCATGTCCGGGAGAAAATGAGACATCCAGAACAAGTAGCGAGAAGGCAAGCCCTTTAGAAAGGTGTGCTTAGACAAAATTAATTCATACTGATTTGGATGAAGACACAAGTGCTTCACTTTATATCCCCAGAATGTTCATAAACCAGAAATGAGACAATTGTGCTTTCTGAACAGAGCTAATACTAATATGTTTTCTAACTGGAAATTGTTATTATGTCTTTTTTTTTTTTTTTTTGGTCAGTATTAGTATTGAACCAGGGCCTTTGCACCAAGCTACATCCCCAGGTGCCTCCCCTGCCCCACTTTTTTGAGATAAGAGTTTGCTAAATTCCCAGGCTAGACTTACAATCCTCCTGCCTCAGCCCCTCAAAGTGGTGCTCGGATTACAGATGTGCATCACCACACCTGACTGATATTATTTTTTAAAGCCTAAAGCTGCCCTGTCAAGGATTTTGTCGCTGCTGTCACAGGTGGTCTGTGCACAGTCTGCCTTGGGTGGCACGTTGTTCCCCTTTTCTAGGTCACCAGTTTGGACCCTCCCTACCCCACTGCATGGGCTGATTCCCTGTCATGCATTTCTCCCCAGGATGTGTTCATTTTTCCTCCTTGAGTTCTTCCACCTTGGATTTGAACTTTAAAGATTTCTCACTGAGTTGAGAGAGAAGAAGAAAAATTCTTCGCCAAGAAAATAATTGTAATTTGAGTTTTAAGTTGGTGTATGAAAACACAAAGTATATTCTGTTTCTGTTTGTGTACCACAGGGTCAAAAACCAAAACCAAAAGCGGACATGGTGGCACATGCTTGTCCTCCTAGCACTCTGGGAGGCTGAGGCAAGTTCAAGCCCAGCCTGAGTGGTTTAGTGACTTAGCAAGAGCCTGTCTCAAAATAAAAAATAAATTCTAAAAAGGGCTGGGAATGTATCTCAGAAAAGGCCCTGGGTTCAATCCAGTACTGCCAAAAAAGAAAAGAAAAAGATCCTGCCACCTTCCTGAGCAGCACGCTCTGCCCTGCCCTGTGCCACAACTGAAGGGCAAGTGACAGCACAGGGCCCTGAGCATCTGCCCGGGCCGCCCTCTCTCTGGACCACGCTGGCCGCCATCCTCTCAGGCCCCTCTCCTGCCATTCCCTCGTCTGGCACCAGCTGGAGGCGTCTGCCTTGCTTTTGAGGCTGCTCCAGGCTGGCTCTGGCATCCTGACCTGTGGTGTTCTCGGTCCCTGTGACTCTCTGGGTGTTCGGGTCACAGATACTCTTTTGGGGAAGTTGTGGATCCCTGGGGGTAGACGCTTGTGTCTCTCAGGGCTCCCAAAAGCTGAGCCCAGGAGATAGCGGAGCTGAGCTCAGCATTTGACCTAGGTTCTCTGTCCCTCTCTCTAGCACCCGGGATGGCATCGCCAGGCTCTTGGGATCAAGTTAGAGTAAGACTGTGCCTACTTGAGGTTTTCTGATGCCAGCGAATGGACAAAGCTGGTTTCTGTTGATTTGTTTATTCAACAAATACCTGCAGCTCTGCTGTGCGCCAGGCAGAAGGCAAGATCAAATTGCACAGGCGATGGAGTGGCGGTGGCGGGAGAGGCAGAGGCTATGGGTATGCAGCCGCCCTTGGCGCAGATGCTGCTGAGCCCCAGACCCAGGCCCGGGAGAGATGCTGAGGATGCGGCTTTGGGTTGGGGTTTGGTCCCCAAGGAAGTACTTGAGGCTGGAGCTGAAAAGTGCAGAAAGGCTGGTTGGGACAAAGAGCTCAAGAAGAGCTTCCAGGCAGAGTGGCCTGAGGAGCAAAGACCTTGAGGCAGAAACGATGGATGATCAATCATCAATCGATGATGGGGTGAGGGTGGTGGCTGGGGCAGAGAGGGAGAGGGAGGCTGGAGGTCCAGCCAGGCCCTGGAAGGGCTGCAGCCTGGGAAGAGGGATGATGTTGGGTCAGTGGGGAGCAGGGGGGTGGCCCATGCTGTTTCCACCCCTCAGAGGATCTCGCAGGAGGGGCAGGTCAGGGCCAGGTGCGGTGGGCCGGGATGCGGCTGGAGTGGGTGGGTTCCAGAGGTCTTTGGAGGAACCTAGCGTGCTCACCAGCATAGCAAGCGCTGGGGTGGGAGTGTCTTGGCCTCCTGGGGAGGGTGGAGCCCAGCCTAGTTCCCTGGGGCTGGTCTAGGTTGGACCCAGCTGATAGGATTCCCCATAGTGAGCAACCACAACTTTGGGTTGTGACATCTTTTCGACTTGGGTTTGTTTTGTTTCCTTTTGAACTCTCCCCGAGGACAAGAGAGGTGAGCTGCAGGCCCAGTGGAAAAGCCTGGACTGGGGTAGGACAGCCAGCCTGGGCCTCTGTTCCAGTCCTAGAGAAGACATGAGCAAGGCTTTCTCTTACAGAAAGTGATCTCGGAGGCATTTGGGGGCATCGGACTTGGTTTTTGGTTTGTTTTGTTTCTTGTTAGTCTGAGAATAGGGATGGAATGTTTATTTGTTTGAAAATAATTAATACAAGTAGAGTCCCAAGCATATTAGCTTGGAAAAACTTGAATGGGGTGTTCTTATAAAAAATAATAAATCAAGGGCCGGGGATTTAGCACAGTGGCACTGTGCCTGCCTTGCAAGCACAAGGTCCTGAGTTCGACCCCTAGTGCCAAAAAAAAAATGTAAAAAAGTCAAGACTCGGCCGTGTAGTGTCTTGTTCTGTAATGATTTGTTGGCTATTTTAAGTCCACTGGATTTTTGTAATTCTCTAGGGAGTAACTTGGGTTTGGAGCACATTAAAGAAAGTTAAAAGCCAAACAAATCCTTGGCAAATTTTTAGAATGGCACAGCCAGTTGTTAAATGAGGGTCAGTTTAGCCGGTTAGGGACAGGGAAAGAAAAGACCATTCGCTTCCTTGCCACCCAGGGGCATCAATGAGCTGAGTCGTGACAGGAAAGGAGCAGGATGCCAGCGCTCCAAACAGGCCTGGCCTTTATCTCAGCAATTCTGGTTTCGATTTGGTTTCGTTTGGTTTTTGTTTTTTTGAGACAGGGTCTCAATATGTAGCCCAGGCTGGCCTGGAACTCATGGTTGTCCTCCTGCCTCAGCCTCCTGCCTGCTGGGATTTCAGTTGTGCGCCACCATTCCTGGCTTATCTCAGGAGTTCCTCGAAGATAGCGGTCAGGTGTGCAAGACACCGGACAGTTGTCCCTTCGTACCCGAGGGGCATGAGTTCTGGGGTAACAAAATCAGAGGCTGCTCAAGGTCCTTGCAGAAAATAGTGTCATATTTGCAAAGAACCCACACACATCTCCTAGCCTCTAAGAACCATCTCCAGGCAATACCTCAAGACACAAAGCCAACGGTGTCTGAGTGGCTGCTGGACTGCACGGCCGAGGGATGGTGATGGGAAGTCTGCCCTCGTTGGAGTCCTCCCCACATTTCTGATCTGCAGAGGTAGCTCCCCGGGGACAGAGCCGTCGGAACAGGCGGCTGCGGAGCGCTGTGCCAGTGTTCCTCCAGCACAGAGCTCTTCTGCTAGGGCTGCTGCCATGTTGTCACTCGCTAGTGCACCACTTACCCTGGGAAAGGGGCACTGTGACCACGCTCTTCACAGTGGGAAACCAAGGCTTGAGGCACGTCACCTGCCCTGGGTTTCATGCGGGGGAAAGGGGTGGCAGCCTGAGAAGGCAGCACTGGCTCTCCTGCCCCAGCCTTCCCATGCCTGTCACATCTTACTGCTCAGCACTCCGGGGTAACGGGCATGACGGAGCCTTCCAAAGGCTGGGAAAGAGTTTTTAAAAAATCAGAGTGCACCGATATGAACAGGGGATGAGAAACGACAAGGCAAACCTCTGCTCAGTGACCTAAGAGACAAATCATTGAATCTGAAACAAAAGTTACAGAGCAGTTTGTATGATATCCTGATTTCGCACACTATGAGCTGTATAACACATATAGTCATTAATATATTCTTCCAAGATGCTGTCTTCCTTGGAAGGGAACACATTACAGTGTGAACGGTGGTTGTTTCCTGATATTGGGATTCCAGGGAACTCTGAACGAAGAACTTATTCCAGAAAATTTTGAGCGTCCTGGACATAGGTACATGAAGAACAGTGAATCATTGGCTTTCTCCCAGGGAGGCGGCACCCTGTTGGCAGCAAGATGCCACTTGAGTAAATGGTTAAAGAGGACTGGTTGTCGTTAGGGATTTTCTCTCCTGCTTGTCACTTGAGGCTGACAAAGTCGAAGAGGCATTTTGTTTGTGGCCTTTAAATTGTGACTAATAAACACCAGCATGTCCAGAAGAGGCAAAGGTGTCATCTCACTGTGGCCTTATTCTGGGTGGGCACAGGGCCATTTCCAGAATGGCCTGCAAAGCTGGACGGAGAGCTTTTGGCTGTTAGGAGACAGCAGAAGCGACAGCAGTGGAAATTATTGCAGAAATCTCATCTGCTCCACGTGTGATCAGATGACGGTCTCCACCCTTCTTTGTGACTAAAGTGCCAATGGCCTTAATGGCTACACTTGAGCTTCCATGTGCACCCGCACCACCTAGTCTACACAGGGCTCGAATACCTTTGAATCAACTCTCAGTGTCTCCTGGACAGAGACACCTCTGCCTGGGCCTTTGGGGCTTTTTGGATCACAAGATGGTCCTTGAGTAACATCTTTTTGTGTTAGGAGACTCTGGGTGTTCTTTTCCCCCCATCTTATTGGCGTATAGATTCTTAGAAGACTCTGTTTTTGGAACCAATTTCCTTTCCACGTCTGTATCCTGGTTACTTAGTAAACTAATGTGTGGCCTGATCAGTCCTTTCAAACCCTCATTTTACAGCTAGTACTTCATGCCATTTCCAGGGTGATAGAAAAACCCACAAGAGGGCTGGGGATTTAGCTCAGTGGTTCCACTGCCCGCCTCGCAAGCGCACGGTCCCGAGTTTGACCCCAGTACCACAAAAAAGAAAAGAAAAGAAAAATCCACGAGAGTGTGAGTGTGACAGAGCGGAGAACGCAGGCTTTGGGATCCATCGGCACACTGAGGTGTGGGTGGTAATCAGGAAGCCGAGGTCCCAGTTATTAGTGACACAACTGTCGGCAGATACCCTGCATCCTCTGAGTTACAGCAGAGCATGGATAATAGCGGGCAGTGTACAGTTTCACAGGGTCAGGCAGGGACGTCCTCTGAAAATCTTTGAAGACGGTAAGGTTGTATAAGGTTGTTATTGCCAGACTCCAGTGCCTTTAAAAATAAATAACTAAAAGCCCATTGAGACGAAATTCACCCATCTCAAGTGCACAGTTCAGTGGTCTCTGGTTTATCCATAGACGTGCGTGACCAGCGGCACAGCCCAGTGGAAACCATATTCATGGTCTCCAAAAGCAGTCCACACCCTTTAGCTTCCACTTTCCCATCCCCTTCCCTCGCTTTTCCATTTTACTTTGTGTTTGTTTATAAATGGTAACTTTTAAATTAAATTAAGTAAAAATAGGATCAGTTGCCCATGACGGTGAAATCCTGTTTCCTACAAAGAGCATCTCTGTGGGCTTTCTAGTCAGTGAGCTCTGTGCGTTGGCAGGAGGAGGGGCGTGAACTAAGTGTTAAGAGACCGTCTTACTAGGTTCCCAGTCCGTTTCTATTTCGGGAAGCAGGAAAGGCAGAAGGGGACTCCCTGTTGCTGCTGAAGTCAGGTCAAAGAAGTGGGTGGATGGTGGGAAGCTGGGGAGGAAGGGGTGAGCTGAGCCGCGGGAGGGTAGGCAGGGCTCCAGTGTGTCTGGAAGCAGCCGGTATTTCCCCTAGCTTTCTAGACGTGGGCTTGACTTGACTTCCTGCGCCTGAGCTGGGAGAAAAGGGAGGGAAGGACGGAGGGAGAGAGGGACGGACGGAGGGAGGGACGGACGGACGGAGGGACGGAGGGAGGGGAAGAAAGGGAGACAAGGAGGGAGGGCAAAAGGAAGCAAGGAAGAAAAGAAAGGGGGAAGAAGGGAGGGAGGGCCACTCGGGGGCGCCCCGGTTTTCAGCAGGACCCACATCGCGCGGCTGAGTGTGGTACCAAGGAGAGGGTCTCAGCCTCACCCCTTCCTGTTGCAGGTCGCCAGATCCCGCCCTTGGACCCCCTCGAGAAGGGCAACAACGGAGCCATCTGCATGCACGGCGGGAAGCCACCCGCGCAGGCCCGGCGGTGCTGCTGACGGGCCTCCAGGTGCTGCGCTGCCTGCAGGAGCCACACCCCAAGCTCCGGAAGCGAGGCACAGGCCTTGCCCCCGAGGCTGCAGGAAGCGGGCAGGAAGTGTCCCTGAGAGGAAGTTGAGAAAACTCTGGGAAAACCACACCGCTGCTGTGTGACCTTTGGGGGTTGTGCTTACTGGGTAGCAGGTGCAGTCGCCCTTTTTGCTGAGAGCATTAGAACATGGTTGGATCTGTCCACAAGTCTTAAGTACTGTTTTCCTCTGAGTCCTGTGTCACCTGCTCAGATTCCAGGCTGTGCCTGACCTGACCTGACCAGCCTTCACCAAAAGGCGAATTTAATATAGAAGGATAGATTTTCGCTGGTTTGAGAAATAAGCTTTTATTTATTACTGTTCTGAGGGAAGTCAGAGAAGTGTAACTGGACCACCATTCGAGCTGAGGCTTGTACTGCTGTGGAAGAGGAGGAAAAAAAAGTCGGAAAAACTATCATTTGCAGGCCTTTTAATTTAATCGGTGATTTTTTTTCCTAAATTTTGATCAGATATAAACAAACAGATCCAATCAGACTACAATACAGCACATGACCTTAGGACCAGGAGCACCAGTTAAATAGTCACTATGTAGGGAGGGTAGCGGAAGGGTGTAAACTTTCAGAGGCCATGCGGTACACATCACCCACATGGGAATAAATTCCTACTGTCGTAGAGATGGTCAGTGCATGCAGTATTATGTTACTAAGAATATGCCGTGGTGTCATATCTGGGGAAAAAGTTAGCCAGAGAATGCTTCGAGTCTAAATTCTAATTGGTATAATAACTAATCATAGGTTATAGGAAAGCCAGCCAGAGGAAGTATTACCACCCTAAAATTCAAAGCCCAGAGGAACTGTGAAATTGGGGACAGCATTTTCAGTGTTGTCAGGCCCGGGGACAGTCATAGAGCCAAGCAGAGGGCTGCCTGTGGGCTGCCAGAGGCCTGATGGTAGGCTCCAAGGGAGGCTTTCCCATTCCGATTCCCTATCTGCTCAGCCACCGACATCTAAATCCCAAGGGGAGAAAAGAAAGTGTAGAAAGGAAGAGAAGTCATTTCCACCAAAAGTGCAAATCCCGTCACCAGTCCGGCTTTCATAAGAACTTGGGATCAAGAAGGAGCCAGGCTTTGTCTGGGCCGGCACGGCCTCATCGGCAGGGCATGGCGCAGTGTGTCTGCAAGGGCCAGGTGTGGCCTTGTTTGCCATGGATGTTCTGGGGCCAGCGAGGCGTGGAGAGCCCACCATGTGAAGGAAGGAGGCCACAGGCTGGTCCAAGGCCTTGAGCTGTCTGTGGCTCAGTATGACTCACAGAGCTGGAGTCACAGGGACCGGTGCTGCCCAGCTCTCCTGGGCAGGAGACGAAGTCATAGCACTAAGGAAGGAAGGGGGCCGGAGGCCTTTTCTCTATGTTGATGGTAACAGGAGAGCGGGGCCATGTTCTCAGCACATAGCTGTTCTTCAACTCGAAGATGTGCTGTCAATTTGAGTTCTTACTGGTTTGCCCAACTTTGGAGAGATGATCGACAGCCTTAGAATACGGAGGCCAGAAAACACTTATTTTGGTTTTAAGAGTGTCACTTGGTTCTCCCAGGCAGGCACCCCAAAACCAGCTAGCAAGTGGCATTGGATGTCTTGGCAGGCCCTCTGCAGGGATTGCTGGAGTTCTTTCCCACATTGCCAGCGTTCCTGCCTGGCGTGCTTCTGCTGCAGGCCAAGAAATGATCATACCTCTTGCCAGAGGCGCAAAATCAAATTGAACATTGAAGCGACCTCCTTACAGGTGACATACAGGCCTGTTTCTGCCTTTCCTCGTGCAGCTTTCCTTGAGCACCTGGATTGCTCTCCAACCAGCAGCTCAGGTTTCCGAGCTAAGGTAGCTCACACCCCAGCTGAGAGTGTGGCAGCTTTGATGGTGTTGGCAGTGGCTGTATTTGGCATCAAATGTCCAGTCGTAACTACATGTAGGGAATCTACCCACTAATGAGCCCCTGGTTTTTTTCAGAAGCACATGAAGGGGTGAACCACTGTCTTACCATTCTGTATTGCCTTAGCTATGGAAGCCAATCAGAAGGCCAAATATGTATATAATTTCCACTCAGAGCAACTGGCAAAGACAGCAGGTGGCACTTGGGCACACGAGTCTTTATGTAGACGTTGAATCTCCTCTGATGACAGCTTGGGGCTTGTCCGTGATGAGGCCTTCCCACCCTTCCTTACTTTGACTTGGAATTACTTTCTGGCTATTCCGATCATTGGTCCACAGCCACTTAACACTGTGTAATGCCTGGAAATTACCATTGTTCAAAAATGTCAAGTATTTTCATGGAATGTGGCACCCTTGGCATCATTTTCCCAGACCTGGCCCTTCTCCCCTTTTCTGTCATTTGCAGATGTGTGTGTACATGTGTAAATATGATCCTCTGCTGGTTACGCTGACATGTAATCCATTTCAAACTGGCTGGGTTTGGCTCATGGCCACTTTCTGTAGGAAGAGCATGGGTTCTCAGAGGGACTGCTTCCCAGTGAAATCTAGAACTGGGGGTGAATTGTGTAAACATTTTACATAGGTACAGTATTGACTTGCTGTTTCATGGCTTGAAATGGCACATTAGGGTGCTGACTATGACGTTGCCTTGTAGACTAACAGGTTGAAGACCTAGAGCTAAGTTCTGTCCTATAATATGGGCTGTGCCCCAGTGGAAACTAGTGCCTTTAGTGAGGGAGGTTTGGATGACAAGATATAGCCTTTATGATTGAGGACCAAAGGCTGTGGTGGCTGAGCAGAGCGCTTGTGTGTGGGCTTCCCCCTCACTGCTTTGGCACACCTGGCAAGTGTGTGATGAGCAAGCTCTTCAAACGAAGGGCTCAGGGCTGCACTCACACCTCAGAGGTATCTAGATTACCCTTCACTGCCATCCAGTGATCCGATGGCAGTGCTCTGTGTGCAGACTGCCAACTCTCCTGGTGTTCTGTAAAGGGCTTCCGTCTGGGCTGGACCCAGTTCTTGTATCTAGAAGATACCACTGCAGGCACCCAGGACTTTTGTATATTGTATTCTATTCTATAGTAAAACATTTCCCTCAGCAGTGACCATTTGTATCTATTGTTTTTGTTTTAACACACACGGATTCATACTAATAAATATTTTAAGTTTTAACAAGTTTGTCTTTTTCTTTTAATAATTTTCACTAAAATAATTTTTTAGAACTTGTAGTCAATTTGGAGTAAAGAGCAATAAACCTCCAGAGAAACATATATACCTGTGCAAAGGAAGATGTGTAAGATGCTCACTGATGTACTGCTCGCAATAGCAAAATATTGTTGTCCACTAAGAAAATAAATAAAATATGGCATAGTCACACAATGAGAGCTATAGGGTAATTAAAATGAATGCATCTTCTGAAATGCATCAACATGCACCTTAGAAACACAGTGTGGAATTCAAGGCTGCCATCCTGCTCCCCATGGGAGCCATATTGATGGTGGTCTATGTAGCTGAATTAGCCAGCTATCTTGTTTCTAGTACAAAACACCCCATACCTGCAGCTTAAAGGAGGAGAGGTTTGATTTGGCTTATGGTTTCAGAAGGCTCAGTCCATGGTCTGTTATCTACAAGACTGAAACATCATGGTGAAAGAGTATGGCAGAGCAAAGATGCTTATTTCATGGTGGCAAGGAACCAATGCAGAGGAAGAGCATCACAGAAGAGGTTGCCACTGATCAGATATGAACCCCAAAGTCTCAGCTCCATGACCCACCCAGAACTGTGCTTTACTAATCCCCTAGGCAGCTCTCAAACCAAGTTGACAATTACGGTTAACTCTCACATTCCACCCCTTGTTGACTTGACATCCAAACACATCTTAATCTATACTCAATCTCCAAATAAAGTTGGTAACAACCTAGGTGTGGTGGCACCCAGAATTCTGAGAAGCTGAAGCAGAAAGATTACTATTTTGAGCCCAGCCCAAGCAACTTAGTGACACCTTGTCTCCAAAAATAAAAAAGGAGGGCCAGGGATTTAGCTCAGTGGTTTCGCCACCTGCTGCACAAGCACAAGGACCCGAGTTCAATCCCCGGTAGCAAAAAACAATAAAAAATAAAATAAAAAAGGGATGGGAATGTAGCTCAGGGTGAAGGCCCTGTGTTCAGTACCCAGCACAGGGGGAGTGTTCATAATTCTACCTACATGATACAATTATCCTGCATCCAACCAAAAATACAATAATTTCTTCTCTGAAGTCTCAACAGTTCCAGCATTGTTCCAAAGTCCAAACTCAAAGCCTCCTCTGGAACTCAGTGCAAACTCTTAGCTGTAAACCCCTGTAACAATTAAAAACAAATTACTGTACATTACCATGAGATTCAATGGCACAGAATAAATATTTCCATTCCAAAAAAGGAGGATAATAGAGGGATAGGAAAGAATCAGACCAAAGGAAGACCAAAACCCAGCAGGGTTAATGACTGGAACATTAAGGCCAGAAGCTCCACATCTGGCATCTAGGTGACATGGTGGTAAAATATGAGTCCCTCTGTTGTAGCCCACATGGCCTCTCTCAGGATGGCTAGCTATGTTTGATACATGTGGCTTTTCTCAGCAGACATCTCATGTTCCTGATATTTCCAATTTCCTCCAGTCTCCATTACACATTTGGCTTTATTCCCATAACTCTATGAACCTTCTCTCAAGGGCACATTGCCTGGTCATCTAGGCATTCCTTTGAAATCTGGGCGAAAGCCTCCCTGACTCCACAACTCTTGCATTCTCTATACCTATATAACCAGCATCATATCAATGATGCCAAGGTCTGCTGCCAGCTCAAGCAATAGCCAGACCACTACCCAAGTACAAGTGTAGCCTGAGCATTAAACTGCCTTCCAATTTACCCCACCAGCTCAATTAGTTCATCACTCTGAAAGTAGGCCACTCTCAAAGTCTCAGGACATGAGCAAAATATAGATAAAATTTTTTCCAGAGTGTAACATGCATGGCTTCCAGTTCAATTCCCAATAGAGTTCTCATTCCCAACTAAAACCTCCTGAGCCTGGCCTTTACTGTCTATATTCCTATCAGAATTTGAGTCTTCTGAGCACTGACTAGAATTACCCATCAGGATCTGCTTATAACATTGTAGGGCTTCCCTAGCCCACATCTCTAAACTTTTCTAAACTTCTACAAACCAGTTCCAAAGGCCTCTGGACCATGTGGTAAGGTATTGTTACAGCAATGACCCCTCTCCTGATACCAGTTTTCTGTATTTGTCAGCTTTCCCATTGCTTATATAAAGTACTCTGTAGCTGTAACTTAATGGTGGAGAGGTTTATTTGGCTCATGGTTTTGGAGGACTCAGTCCACAGTCTTCCAGTTCTAAGGCAGAAATATGGCAGAAGAGTGTAGTGGAGCCAAACTGGCAACAAGGAAGCAGCTGATTTAAAAGGTGATTAGGTCATTAGGGCTCTAACTTCACAAATAGATTGACAATATTATCACAAGAAGGGGTCAGTGATCACAAGAGTGGCTTTGACAGAACAACAAATCTGGCCCTTGCCTATTTCCTCACTCAATCTTATGTTTTCGTAGAGGCCCATATTTCCAGCCTTTAGTACTAGGAGAAATAAATTTATTTTCTGTGTAATTTACTCAGCCTTGTATTCTGTTATAGCAGCAGAATATGGACCATGATTTATTATTGAATATGCTAAAAGTGGGATGGATGAAGTACAGATCAAATAATGTCATTTCCTCAGAACTTTCTGTTGCAAGTTAGGTAAAATTCCCACTCTGTGACCTGTGGTGAAATGTCTGGCTCATCTAGCTGGGCCCCCGTCTCCACCCTGCCCCTGTCCCTACTACAAGGGTTGCTCTCTCTTCCCCCCAGGAACTGCACCCAGTCTGCTCCTCTCTGCTTGGCACGGTACCTTCAGGCTCTGAGAGGCTGCGAACAATTCCAGGAGGCTTTCTGAGGCTCCCCAGGGTGAATAATAGTACACCCTTCTGAGTTGCCTTCTGGGTAGAAGGTTAGTCTCTAAGTTAAGGTCCAGTAATGTTCATCAAAGACTGTGTGCTTTGTCCTGAACACAATAAGTTGAGAATTAAATGTCTTCAACCTCTACACTCAGGATCGTAATAGACCAGGAGGTTAATCAGGGGGTACCTTGGAGGGTCAGACAAGGAGAACTCACATAACCCAGGCTATAGTCCCATTGTGTAAGAGCATCCGGTGTGCTCCATGTGGGCTGGAGACTGGGGGCTGCAAGCCCGTCTCTGATCCTCAAGAAGCTTTGGTTTGGGCTGGGAGGAAAGACTTATGCCTTGTTAACATGTGGTGTTGACAGGAGGGCCACAGGGGACGTGAACTTAGTCTTGGTCTGTGATGCTTTACTCTTTTTTGGTTCAAATATTTGTTTTCCAGTGTTCTGATTTTGAACTTAGTATGAATAGGCTGCAAACCTATTGGTTGGTGCCACCCACAGCCAGGATGAGGCTTCCCTCTTCAATAAATCCATTCAGCCACACCCAGAACTATTTTAATCCAACTAGGAGACTAATCCAGTACCATACACCCTTAATCCATATTCACAGACCCTAGATCCAGCCACCTCCCAAAGCTCCACCTACGAGCACATGAGGCTTTTGGAGGGATGTCTAGATACGAGCCATAACCTAAATGAAAATTAAAGCACTAATGACATTACTTTCTTTGTCCATCAAGTTGCATTTAATTTAATTTTATTTATTTATTTATTTATTTATTTATTTATTGGTGCCAGGGAACAAACTCAGGACCTTGTGCTTTCCAGACAGGAAGCAGGTGCAGTGCCGCTGAGCTAAATCCCTGGCCCTCAAGTTGCATTTTAATATCTTCCTGGTAGTTATAAATTGTAACAGCTTTTCCTAAAAGCATTTTGGCAACATCTACGTAACATCTTTAAAAAGTCTACCAATTAGGGCTGGGGATTTAGCTCCGCGGTGCCGCTGCCTGCCTTGCAAGGGCAAGGTCCTGAGTTCGAGCCCCAGAACCAAACAAACAAACAACTTACCAATTAATTGATCTAGGAATTTGAGCTTTAGAAATTTATTCTAAGAAGAAAATTAAGAATCTATGGAAAGACCGATCCATAAAAATGTTTAATGTTACATTGTTATAATAGTGAAGAATCAACGAGTTCTATCCCCAGTACCAAAAAAAAAAATAGTGAAGAATCAAAAGCAGCCTTTGCATTCATTAATAGAAAATTATTTAAATAAATTGTAGCTCATCCATTCCAAGGGACCCTAATCATTCACTAAAAATGATCTTGTATGTCAGGGGTTGGTAAGCCAGGGCCTGGTTTGGGAATAAACTCCTATGGAGACCCAAGCAAGCTCATTTGTTTTTTGTTTTGTTTTAGTTTTTTTGAGACAGAGTCTCACTATGTAGTTCATACTGGCCTTGCACTCATGATGTATCCCAGGCTGGCCTCAGTCTCGAAGAGAATTTCCTCCCTCAGCCTCCTGAGTGCTAAGATTATAGGTGTACACCACCATATCCAGTCACCCCATTTGTGTATGCAGTGTGGGTGGCTGCCAAGTTATTTTGCTAGGAAGCTACAATAGACCACCACAGACTGAACAGCATACACAACAGGACTGCATTGTGTCCATCCTGGTTCTGGAGGCTGGAAATCCAGTCTCAAGCTGTCCTGAGGGTCTGTTCTGGGCCTCTCTCCTGGGCTCATAGAAGGCCATTTTCCCTGAGGGTCTGTCATTGAATCACCCTTTTTTCTAAGAACACCAGTCCCGCTGCATTAAGGGCCCAGCCCACTGCAGTATGACCTCATCTTAACTAATTACATTTGCAACAACCATATTTCCAATGAAAGGCTCACATTCTGAGGTATGGGAGGTTAGACATCAGCATATGGATATTGGGGGACATACGTCCACCCGTAACGCTCTTGTGTTGCAGCTCTTAATGAGACAAGTGGACTACAGAGTCCACCATAGTTATCATCCAGCCTTTTACGGGAAAATTTGCTGAGCCCTGCTATCGGTGAGCACATTTGCACATGAAAAATATTCAAAATATATTCTTAAAAACATATTTATGACAATGTAGTATTTTATTTATTCTATTGATGACTAATGTTTGGGAACATTTATGATACTAATGG